GTAGTTTAACTAGACTCTGCACGCAGGGTAGCTTATTAAACGACGGGCAATATATTTATGACAGTTGCCATAAATAACAGAGTTCATGTCATAATTTAAAATGACAACTCAAAGAAATCAAACAAATCAAACAATAATATTTTAAGGATGAAGAGTAATTTTTCTTTCAAGTTTCAACGTACAAAATTGGCCATGGGTCATTACGAAACGATTCTCATTTTGAATAAAGTCAATGCCATATAACTAATATGTGAAAGAATGTATTAAAGTGATTTACTCTTAAACAATTCTTTGATAGTAAGTACAGGATGGTCCAAAAAACGTTCATGTTTTTATTTAGGTTGAATTTTAATTATGCATTTTTATTATACATATTTAAGGCTTTAAGCCATGGGGTGCATTGTGGAGACTGATATCATTTATCCAAGGTGTTGTTTCAAACTTTGCTGAGTTTAGGAAACAACCCCTGATGTGAATGAATCAGCTACAATGCATTTTTCTTGGTCTGAAATTCTTTTCATACATTGCAAAGCATTTTTTACGAAATCACCTAAAAGATACGAAATCACAAAAGAACGTATTTCAATGAAACGTTTTGGAAATTGCCAAAGTATCAATTTCAATCTGTAGAGTCAAGTTGTCACCTTGACAATTCTTCAACAAATGACCTTGAGTGCTTTTTTGTATATAATGCAGTGCAGTTATGTGATACTGTGTTTCGGATTGGCTGGAATCGGACACACCTTGCCTAACTTTGTGCGAATCAAAAACAGTTTTAAATTAATGAAGATACAAAATCACTTTTATTCCTAAAATGGGATCAAAAAGTATTCAGTTTTTTTAATAATGAGAAAAGTTAACTGACACAAGGGGTCTAAATGAAAATATATAGCTGTAAGGATAATTTTTAGCCCACCCTGTACTTTAAAAAGATCGAATAATATACAAAGGCTGTTATTTTGCAGCACCAGGGTCCAAATTTAGGTCACTACGTCCTACTTTCATTGATTTCAATTCAATTTAATTTTAACATATTATGTACATCTCTTATAGGAAAGTGTTTTGGTGTGGAAACTGTCTTTGGTCAATATTTTTAAACGTCTATTCATTCAATAGCTGCACACCCTACCTTGGACTATAAATTCATCGCCACTCTTGGTAATTGATCACTGTTTTCCCAAATTATGCCAATTGGATTATCAAATAATTCTGATAAACTGTATTCGTTACAAGGAAGTGTGCACTAATTAATACTCTCCTTTGTCAAGTCCGAAAATGACCACATATTTGACCATAGTTGATCTAAATTAACCAAATTAAAATAGCTCCCTGTGGAAAGGCTCGTGGTGGTGTAGGATTGCAAATATAGTCTATTAGACAAAATCCGTTTTTGATATTCTTTCCTAAATCAGTAGATTGGATACTGCTGTCAAAGAAGAAATTTTGAAAATCGCTTTTGGAGAGTTAACTAAAGATAAAATAAAAAGAAAAAATAATTTTCACGTAGACAATTTGCTTTATTTGACAAAAATTGATAGGGTTTTTGGAAACAACACGTTTATAGGTCTTCCTCAAAATTATCTCGAGAAACATAAAACCGGAGAAATCCACTAAAAATTACAAGTTCAGATTCTGTGACTTTTTTATTCACAAATCCAATCTTAAAGCCTGATTAATATTAAATATTGTAGTTTTCAATACGAAAATAAACTTTTGTAAATACTGTGTACAAAGGTATGTCAATGTCTAATTTGACCTTAAACCACAATATCCTATGACATAAAAATGACCTTTTAGGACGAGTCGTCAATATGTTTCTGTTGAATCTAACACACCTGAAATTAGTAGGAGGATTGAACCTGCTAAACATGGAATAAGGGAAATGGTTGAAATAAGGGATTTCTACTCAATATGTTATTGTCTCAAAAAGTATCGTAAATAGATAAATTTTATGAAGTTATCAGAATTGACACTCATCTTAAATGAAATTGGGATTGGTTGCGTTAAATTGAATTATATCATTCCAATAAAGAAATTGTTAAGTTCTTGGAAAACCAAACTGAGAGGGCACGCGCATAGTAATCCCCGGGGGTCATAGCACACGTTTGCGTTCTCTTAAAAACGATGTAAAAACGCAATTGTTCAACATCTGAAAAATACAATTAAACCATAGTGCAAAGAATGCCTTCCTAAAACCATGTTATTACTTTAATGTCGGCATAGTGTCGCAGAATGCAATATTAAAGAGAAGACTAAGAGCACCAGGTTGCATTTCCCTCAAACATTATGAGAGATTACAACCCTCTGTCAGTTCATTTTTAGATTGATAGTTTGAATATAGAAAGATGTGATGAATATCAGAATGTACCTAAACACTCCATTAACCTTTCTATCAAGAGAGCAAGGCACACGTGTTCAACAATACCCCGATCGACATAGCTGGTGATTGTTAGCATCAAATTCTTTTACAATAAAATAATGAAATCAAACTAATTGTGCTTGTATATTGACATCTATGTGATTCAATAGTTTTTTCGATCAGCTGAAAATCATTGTCAAATTAACACAAGAGTCGGAATCTTAAGATTGGTGTGTTTAATGTAGAAATATCAAGGGGTATCAAAATTGTCCCTTCAAGTCAGACGTGTTATTAATTAATATCTTGAAGCAAGTGGAATTTGATGTTCATCGTTAGATTATCAATCAGTGCTTTCAATTTCTATTCCAATAATGTACGTAACGGGGACTATATTAGTAAGTTACAATTAAAGTAGTAACAGCAGTATACAATCTTTGTAGCTCAACAATGTGTCCATTATACTATTTGAAAACTATGCGGATGATGTACGTATGAATATGAACGTTGTTAGAGATAGGCACAATCATGTTTATCAAAATAGAAAGGAAGATACACTTTTAAACGTGTACGTGAACGCGTATAATTATGCTCCTCTGTGGATTAGTTTGTATTGTTTACTTGACCGATTGAGTATAAAGGTATACGGAAAAGGATTGTAATTATAGGTCCCTTGGAAAGTGAATTGAGAGCGGGATTGAGAGCGAGACAATAATCCCCGGGGGTCGAAATATAACACGTTCACGTACACACGGGTGTTAAGCCACGATGATACCATGAGCACATGCCTTGAGGATCCGCGTTGTTTGAACCTACCGCCGAGCTCACTTATACATCAAGACCCGTTACACAGTCATGATACCGCCGAGCAAGCTCATTGTATCATCGGGTCTGCTTTACCCCCGTGGTACAGGTTCTCTTAAAAACGTTTTACTTAATTTCCCTATTGTTAACTAGATAGGACTACAGCTGTCAGCAAACAGACCTAGATAGCATTTGCTACACCTTTAATATGTCTGTTGCCCTCACACCTTGTATGTGGCCTGACTGAATGTAGGGTAATTTGGATTTAATCTGAATTTGTCATAAATGAGAGAGGTTGGAAAACGAGAACCAAATATGTTTTCATCGTCACAACTGCCACACCGAATCAATACCATGGACATGAATACTATAATGTAAAATGCATGCGCCCTTTTAAAATAATAATGCAATATTTTCCTCCAGATGACTATGGTACAGATGTGCATCGTTTTGATCTCCATCATGCTATGTGTGAACACAGTCTGCTGCTTCCCTTACGACGAAGAGCGGGACATGCACGCAATTTGGTCTCAAAAGCGAACCCCGATGTCCCTCAACCAAGACCTAAACGTGGTTGCCAGAATTTTGGACATTGAATCCCAAAGAAAAATTTTGAGGAGATTGAAAGACAGACAAAAATCCTTGCAACGATTGGGAAAAAGAACCGAGCCAAAATCCGAGCAAGAGAATTTTGAGGAACTTGTTCAAGAATTACGGGAAATCCTAGGCTATGCATAGATTACCGCGAGCTCAATAATACATCTACCAGGTTCCAACCCCGATATGCTTGTCAGAGGCTTGTGACGATGTACCATGGAAATATAGCGCTCGACGCCGTGAAAAGTGGCAATATGTTCCTCGTAGAATTCTAATTGTACACTAGGGATAAATATCTCAACCAAAATGTAAAAACAAACGACTACCAATCAATGAAAATAGTAAACTAAAGAATCAACATTCAGAACGACACATCTAACATAAGTTTGAGAGGGATGAAAACGCCATGCATCATCATAAGCGGTGTGCATGTCAAACACGTAGAACTTAGAGTGGTTAGTAGTGATTCTAGGCTAAGTCTACCTCCTTCATTTCAATTCAATATTCGGTGTCTCATTCGTCTCTATTTGCGTCAACGATGATCTGTTATCAACTAGGTGAGATTAGAATGGCTTTGTCCGCACAGGAAAGCTCTTGGTCTAGGCGATTAAAACAAAAGTAATGATATTATGAACATCGTCATCTTATAATCGATTGTCACAAGCCCACTCAAGAAACTACTCATCTTTGCCTAACTCTCTATTTTCTCTCTTACACATTTTTGCAAGTTTTTGGTAACGTGTCTAAAATTGATTTCCTATCTTATCTTGTATTTACTATTTTGTATACTTGTGTAAATTAAAGCGAAATAAAATCTGAAATCATGATCTGGTATATATAAATTTATTGTTTATTTATAAATGTATAGATGTTACATGATGTTCTATTCAATATCGCCCTTATCACCCTCGGATTGTTTACAAATGTATATTAACATTACCATATTTATTTAGAAAACAATTTTTTCAATTAAATAACTTATTTGTTCTTGGAATTCCATTAGTGTACTACTATACAGTTATAGATATACTTTGCATATAATTTTAATCTGAGATCAACACAGTATAGTTGTATACTAGAACTTCGCTTGATTTCTGGAAAAGCTGCCAACATTAATTGACTTTGCCAATTTTATATTTATTTTAATTGTTCAATGTATTGTTCTTAGCTTCAACGGTCGGAATAGCAGTCGTCTCCATTTTGTTGTAGTTATTGTAGTTATTATATTGTTATTATGGATAGTTTATTCCTTAGTTGGAACCTCGTACAATCCACACACCATGTTGGCTGGTAGGCTCACATCTAAAACAAAACACCGATGTTTTATAAATAATTGTCCCCGTGGATCTTGTCTCCCTTCATTAGACCATGATTGGGTATTAACTGATCGCTAGGGAAAATAGTAAGTGTTAAGGTTCTTAGGTATAAAATTGATAGTGAAAACACTGAAAGAATTGCATTGATAGAACCGTCTTTTCTACATACACACCCTCCCCTTCATAAGTTTGGATAATTTTTCCATTGGACTTTGTGTGAAAGACCGTATCTGCGTTTTTAATTGAAACATCTAAAAATGTTGCTGTAAAATACAAGACAATATGACATTTTCAGGTGACAGGCACCAGAATCGATAACAAAGACAAGACTTAACTTTGTAGTTTTGGACATTTTAGAACAATAAAAAGTGTAGCATTTTGCGAAGTGTCAATTGTTCCAGATATATGAGCAATTGTGTATTTTGCCAAGGACGGCCTTGATTTTGCATAAGGATACATGGACACGCGGTCCTAACTTCGACCGTTAATTTGAATTTTTGACCTACCGGATGTTTGAAAATCAAGGATTACGAGTCTCATACTGCACCGTTTTTCTTCAAACTTGTTCCATTCAAAGCATAACACAAATCCCTTTCTGATGGTACATTATTCTCTTCAACAGAGTCCCTACTTCCAGCGGCATTTTGGTCCCCAGCTGTAAGAAGGCCTTCTAACAGCTGGGGACCAAAACGCTGCTAGAACGAGGGACTCTTTACAATAAAGTAATGCACCGACAGAAAGGCAATTTTGTTTTGCTTTTAATGGTATAAGTTTTAAGAAAAACGGTGCAGTATGAGACTCGCAATCCCTGATTTTCAAGCACCTGGTAGGTCAAAAATTCAAATTAACGGTCGAAGTTAGGACCGCGTGATGAAGTAAACGGCAGATCGAGGCAAATTATTGACAACTATCGACAACTATGGTACGTGGAATGTCAGTCACGGATATCGGTACAAACCCTTATTGCTTCTACGCAACTGTTAGGGTCCTTACCCAGATAAAACATACCAATAGCTTTCAATCAACAAGGAAATAGTTTTAACATTATTATAAAGTCCACTTTAATTAGTACTCGGTAAAAGTCATTGCAGTACGCTAAGAACATGTAAATAAAACTTTTGAGTTACCTATCTTTTTAGGGTAGGGTAACCCAAGATTATCCATAATTTTGACGAATTCATCTACTTCTTTCGTGAGTCTTGGATTAAACCTTTTCTCTTCTCCTACAGTGGTGACAGTTCGACCTTAACATGTACAAATTCAAAATTTACTTTGACTGTTTTGAACAGACATGGCATCATAAGCAACTCCGGACTAAACTACGTCGTTCAATGAGCTCGCTAAAAAATGCTCTTTTCAAAGGTTTTTAATATTTTTTCATGAAATTTTCACATAACATCCCAAAAATATCTGTAGTTATTGATTCGTAAACTATCAACATATCTAACATCTCCACACACACACTAGTACACGTATGATAAAACTTTGGGAGGGAGCGGGTGACATTCTCAATCCAATGACGTGTCGCAAAAAGGTGGCGCATTTGTTTTTTAAGGGTATCGCGTGAATGTAACTTTGATTTCCTGGATTATAAGATAATATTCTAATTAAAGTTATATATCATTTTAAAGCTGCTTCGATGAAGTTTTTAGATCAACTACACTCCGTTTACGATTCTTGCGCGTTCTTTTTAAAAAAAGAGTTTTTGACTATAATACATATTTTTCGTCTTGATAAAGGTAGATGGAAGTTTTATTTCAAAGGATGAATTTTAATAAGCGTCCCATATTGTGACGTCATAGAGTTTGAAAAATAGAATCTGTTGACAGCGAGCTTTTTTGCTCATTTTTTTGTTACGTTCAACTTTTCAGGTGTACATTAAACAAAAAATACGAGACCAATCTTTAATAAATCATACATGATTATTTTGCTCCTAAACTCTAGTTTATTAATAAATAGTTGATTTTGTTCGCAAAAGTATGTGTTTTCTGTTGTATGTGGAAAAGTGGAGGACGAAAAGTTTTCAAAATTCATTAAAATATGGCTAATTTACGCCATTCGCCTATTTTCAAGCACAGCAACACGTATATTTATTTCACCTAAAATATCAATTGATTCGTGTTTTATGATGCTCCTATCCCATTGTTAATACATATACGATATCAGAGTTATTCGCCTTAAATATTTTGAGATATAAAGGCAAATGTGGAGGACAAAAGGATTTCCATATGTGTACATTTTTCTCAAAAAACGTCACATTCTGTGGTGTTAAAAAGCGAAAATGTGTAACAATGCGTGCGCGATCTTTTTGCGACGTGTCAATGTTAATGAAGAATTAGCAACATGAAATCTTTTACTGACTTGACAATTATACCTTTATAATCATGAGCAGGATAGAGTTTTGTATCATCAGGTAAGGATAGGATGTTATCCCATACTGATTTGTACAACGTTGCAGCACTTCCTTAAAAGGAAAATACATTAGTTTTAGTAGGATGGTTGTTATTAATTCTGACCTTATCAAGCATTGGTAACAAACATTGATAATTAAAAAGACAAAACCTTAGAGCTCCTTAGGAAATAAGATAATTAAGTCTTATTCAGGCTATTCTGAGTTGTAACACTACGCACCTTCTTGGAAGTCTGTTCTTCCACAACCACGTATTAACAAGGCATCTCCGGTAAATACCATTCCAAGATCACGTAAAACATACGTCAAACATCCTGTCGAAAAATACAACATTTCTATCAACCACTTGTATTCGCGAATGCAACTTTCGGCTGTCGGCTACCGATCAACCTACTATTTTATGACCAAATCAATGGATATGAATGGAATAGTGGCAGGTACTATTTAAAGGTGTTGCCCATGAAATAGGAGTTTAACCCGGCGGCCGAAAGTTGCATTCGCAAATACAAGCTTACCGTAGTTACTTGACTCTCCTTTAACTCACATTTAGTTATATTATCATGATTATGCTCATAATAAAATGTATTTTGAAGCTATCTCTGTAATCCTCGCCCTAAATAATTTCAAAGTATTCTTAATTCGTAATGATAATGTGACTTAGGTAGCATCGACAGCTGACGGTTTAACCACGCCTTACCATCGCGTAAGCAGGCGTCACCGTACAGCGTCAAAAAATAGCGGAGTACAGTTTTCTGTACGGTAACGCAAATTATCTGCTTTGAAGCAAAAACTATGGCAAAGGTTTTAAAAATTAATTTGATGAAAACTAATACGATTTCATGTGAAATAAAAACAGCATTCTCTTAGAAATGGTTTTAACTTTCTGATTATGATAAACGTTTTACGAGCACTGTTCGGATTTTTTCTGAGTGAATCGGCCCACATAATCGACCAGAGTGAAAAAAGGTTGTTTTTTCACATTTTGTTTGGTTATTATTTTCCCTACCGTCTGAGAGTATGGATTATTTTTATGAGAATATGTATTTGTTACTTACACATTTTAGAACGGGCGAAGATTCAGCAAACAACCATTCGTTATGTATTTTTAAAAAAGATCAAATTTGTACGGTGACGCACCAGCTGCACGGTGACGCTATGCTTTGATGAACTAAATGAGACTAAGATTGTATGAAATAGAAACTCTGGAGTATGATCATTTGTTCATATATAGTGCATGGGCGCTACAGTTCAACGATATCTTCCACAGCAAATGGAAGGTTACTGGAAATGTATGATACGGTAAAGATCATGAAACCAAAAACTCTCTTGTTGCTATGTTATTGATGTTTTAAAACAAGGGATGTCACAAGTAAATCTCATCTTGCACGTGTGCCTTTTTGGGATGAAAGATGCAATATCTTGCATGCGGTAAAGATGGCTGTGTAGGCTATCTTTGTTAATCATATGAGAGAAGCCTGGTTTAGTTCAAATGATACCAACGCATTACGTCAATTACGAAATTAATACTTCCTGTCCGCCATCTTAAATGCGAAGGTGACGGCTGTAACCTTCGCTTGATACTTACCAGTGATAATGTACATGTAGATTTGACGCTTCTTTACCTCTTGTTCGAACAGTAAGCTTAGAGCACTTCATAAAATCTAAGGAAGCGTCACCGTACAGCTGATGCGTCACCGTACAGTTCTGATCTTTTTTAAATAAATACACTGAATGATTATTTGCCGAATATTCATCTGTTCTATAATGTGTAGATAACAAATACATATTCTCATAAAAATAATCCATACTCTCAGACGACAGGGAAAATAATAACCAAACGGAAAGTGAAAAAAACACCATTTTTCTCTCGAGTCGATTATGTGGGCCGATCCAGTCAGAAAAAATCCGAGCAGTGCTCGAAAAACTTTTATCATAATTAGAAAGTTAAAACCATTCCTAAGATAATGCTGTTTTCATTACACCCGAAATCGCATTTATTTTCATGTAATTAATCTTTTTAAATCCCTCATTATAGTTTTTGCTTCAACTCAGTTAATTTTCGTCACAGTACAGAAAACTGTACTACTGTATTTTTTGACGCTGTACGGTGACGCCTGCTTACGCGATGGTTAGGCGTGTTAACCTACTATTTTAAAACCAACTCATCTAAATCACCCTATGCAGACAGAGCCTGTGGGAAATATTGGGTGCGGAGCAAATGAGCGGAGGGTGCGGAGCTAACGGTTATTTTTGAATTTAAATTTGGGATATTTCTGAAACTAAGCCGTTTTGGGACTTCAAATATACCAAGATATGTGTATTTGACACCAAATATCAATACAATTGTGAAAATAGTAGCGCAATTCATTCTATAGCGACGCAGTGTGCCTTAAACCTTTCCCAGACCTATATATTTTGAAATTATCCTTTTAATACTGAGTCCCCAGCATTCATAAAAAATGGTGTTCAAGGTTCACTATCTATACAAATTATTTTTGCATCTTGGAAGCCAGGCAGTATCTGTGTGATTTTATAAAAATTCGGAAATTTTTTCAGATATGAGCCCCCTCTAAATATTGGGTGCGGAGCAGCTCCATAAACGTAGCTCCGCACCCAATATTTGAAGTCCCAAAACGGCTTAGTTTCAGAAATATCCCAATTTTAAATTCAAAAATGGCCGTTAGCTCGGCACCCTCCGCTCATTTGCGCCGCACCCAATATTTCCCACAGGCTCTGTCTGCATAGGGTGTAAATATGAATAGAACCTGGAACCATAATACTATTTAAATGAGTTGGCCACAAAAAATAGGGTAACCCGTCAGTCAGCCGGCAGTCGAATTAGCGAATGCAACATTATACAATCAATACACTTTGACATAAACCATCTTTTTCATCATTGAAGACTGAATATAAAGTTCAAACGAAATTGAATTGATTGTTTTCAAAAATAAAAATTGGAGTACATATGATAATGATCTTCATTTTTATTTGTCAAAATGATTAGAAAGATTGCGAAGTGACCTTTGTTTTTCATTGCAAATTGACAGAACTCCACGTTACTAACCATTCGTGTGACCAGGGGTAGCTCTCACTTCCAGTGTCTGGAAATATTTTGAAACATTTTTATTCACTGCATGATAAATTATAAATTGTAGCAATGAACTGAATAAATGAAGCAGCTGTAAAACTGAGAACAAATTAATGGACGGATGCCAATTTACAGGGTGGTCCATACAATTGGAACATTTGTTAATTGAACACAAAACCTTTATTTTTCCTCTAAAATGCACCAAATTTACTGAGCATAGTTCAGTCACTTATCTCTCTGAGTAGATAGAAAACTGGGTGTGCTGGCTCGCCACGGGCCGCCACGGGCCCGGGGCTTTCAAAATCTCTGAGAGATAAAGATGAGCAGGAGATATTGATGAGCAGGAGATAAATTAATTGGATGGGGATTAGGAGATAAATTAATTGGATGGGGCTTTCATCTTAAATGTGGAAAATGATAGATAAGATGCGCATGACATCATTGTTATCTTAAATGGGTGAGAGATAAGATGCGCATGACATCATTGTTATCTTAAAAATCAAACATCAATTACTTCATCAAATAACTGAGAAAAAATTAATGTACAATATTGTTTAATTTATTTGCATTTATTTTACAAACAAAAGTACCACATAATCTAATTAATCCTTATTATCACTAGCAGAATCATTGGTTTCATCAGATTCATTATCACTAGATTCACTAGCTTCGTCATTGTCACTAGAGTCAGTATACGATTCATCTGAAACATTTGCATCATCATAAAGTCCTACATTAATAATGTCTTCTGTCATATAGTTGTGATGTAACATGGTCTTCTTAAAAGCATCTTCAAACGGTATGCCTGTACTCATTAATTGCTGGATGTCTACCATGATTTCTTTATGTGTTGGACTACATTGTAAATCTAGTAAATCTTCAACTAAATATTTGTAGTATGTCTTAAACGTTTCTCTTATTTTGGGTAGGAATTTTTGATTCGCCATATATCTTCTATCATACTCAGAATTCCCCTTCTGTTTGTCTATATATTTTGCCTCTTGTTCTTCAATTTGATCTTTAAATTTATTAATAGCTTTATCCTTTAGCCGTATATACACAGGGTTTTCCTGAAACCCTTCAGTGCATAGCTTCTTCATTGGAGGGTCGTCTATATCCTCATTCAATGGACAGTTTTGGATATGATTCTGTAGATCCATTCTTGATATTAACATGACGCCACAATAGTCACAATGACATATTTCTTTCATGTTGTAATTTTTGTTGTCAGAATGCATAACGTTGCTGGGGATAGTATCTTTTATACTCGCAGTGAACTTATATGGAGGTTTCATTATTGAAGTATCATACTGTGACATCTCTTTAAATGGGTTTTCAATAGCATTCAAATCATATGGTAGTGCTATGTCATTGGATTGTACTGTCTTAGTAAATGGTTCTCCCTTTAGATGACTACTATCATGCTCATTCATTGTTTGATGAGTCTTATCATAACACAGTCTTAAATGCTCTGGGGTTTCTTGCTTTAGATCAATCAGTAAATGCCCATATGGTTTTAGAGTAGCTGCATTATAAGCATCTAAGAGTTTGTGACTGTTCCCAGGATACATCTGCTGAGAAAGTACTCTTACTTGGTTTTGATCTCTTGGATTCTTGTACAATACAATGTAATGTGTATTCAAGCTGATGGTTCGATTCTCCCTTCCATGATGGAAGATATTCTGCAGTAAACAGATTACACTCAGGTTTCTGTGATGACTCCCTTTAGTAAACAAATCAGAGATCTTCCTGTCTTTGGTAGCATCTGACATCAAGTCATCAACAATCATTAAATTACGCACTCTAGGATTTAAGAAATCTGGACTGTTTAATTCATCTGGAATTCCCATCATGAATTCTATTCCAGGATGTATGTTCTTAATCTCTATGTAAAGTGGTTGCCATTGTCCAAAACACCAGATAATACGCTGTGGAGGGGGTTGGATGCGTTGCTCTACATTTTCCAAAAGTTGCTTGACAAAGGTAGTTTTCCCACAGCCTGTGGGACCAGTGACCAACATGGTAAAGGGGTGATGCAACACTTTGTCCATACCTACATGTATGTCTTCTTTACCTAGTGCAGAGTGCATGCCTTTGTGTCTCGCTAAACTTGAAGCATGTCTAAATTCTTTACCGCAATGACAGTAATACATGTTACTGCCTCAAAGACTGATAACAAAATGGATGCAATTCATAATTCCGTTCTGTTATGTATATGTGTTCAAAGGCATGTTCAATAATGCTAATTTAAATGTATGCTAACAGATGCTAATGCTAATAGATGCTAATGGTAATGCTAAGTAATGCTAACAGATGCTAATGCTAATGCTAACAGATACTAATGCTAATGCTAACACGTGCTAACATATGCTAATGCTAATAGATGCTAATGGTAATGCTAACAGATGCTAATGCTAATGCTAACAGATACTAATGCTAATGCTAACAGATGCTAATGCTAATAGATGCTAATGGTAATGCTAAGTAATGCTAACAGATACTAACATATGCTAATGATGATGCTAACAGATGCTAATGGTAATGCTAACAGATGCTAATGGTAATGCTAACAGATGCTAATGCTAATGCTAACAGATGCTTACATATGCTAATGATGATGCTAACAGATGCTAATGGTAATGCTAACAGATGCTAATGCTAATGCTAACAGATGCTAACAGATACTAATGCTAACAGATGCTAACATATGCTAATGATGATGCTAACAGATGCTAATGGTAATGCTAACAGATGCTAATGATAATGCTAACATATGCTAATGATAATGCTAACAGATGCTAATGAGGTAATGCTAACTAATGTTCATACATATTCAAACCATTTGTAAATGAACAACATTTGAAAAAAAAAACATTTGAAACTTTAGTTATTTATTTTTATTCATATCGTTCAGTATTATATACAAATAACTTTAATCGTCCATCCTTGCTGGGATACCAGGTGGTTTGTATAAGAATGTCCGTTTCTTTCTTGTATTCGAAGTGTTTTGTTTTTTCTGTTTAAATGGATGTTTCTTCTTTATATTTACAGAGTTTTGTTGTTTCTCTTTAGATGGTCTATACTCTTCATATTTCATATCTTCATGTTGACGTTTCAATTGTGCCTTTGCTCTGTCGACAACTGCAGTCATGGGTGAAATGATTTGTACCGGTTTAGTATCTTCTTTAATGTCATCTATGCCTATCCACCCTCTTCCTGTTTGAGATACTTTCAATCTATTCTGTCTCCCAGCTCGAATAAGTTTCAACCAGTGTTCTGGGTTGTCTACATATGGTACTAGTTTCATGGTTTTTAGTTGATGTGTATATATCAAGTATGAGGATTGAAATGATAAAGATTTGAATATTTCACTCAATATATATTGTCAAGTGGCATCAATATCAACTTCTTATCAACATCTGATGTCGTGATATTCTTAGAAACTGATGTCGTGAATTAATGTAGTTCTTGTTGTTATTGACCATTCCAGATTAGAAAGTTGAAAGATTATTTATATTCTTAAGATACATTCAATAGATTTTTCTGTCAAACTTCTGGAACCTTCCAGAATAATGACTCATCGCTATAATCTGTTTTTGAAAAAAGGGATTAACACTGTAAACAAAAGATGTTCTAGAATATGAAGGATTAACATTGTGATGACACAATTAAATGTCAACATTCAATTATTACATTAAAAGACCATTATTGTTGAAATCAAGTATAGTAAGATCAAATGGTCAATTCAATATAGGACTTAAATAAATAAACCTTTTCAACGGTCAATTCAATATAGGACTTAAATAAATAAACCTTTTCATCTGTACACATATTTAATCCAAAATCCAGTTCTCTTTCCTTTTATGCGAACAGTATTTGTTTGACCAGCTCAATAGGATTATTGATTCTTTTCAATGTTGGGTTAATATTGAAAGTAGAATTGTAAACACTGTTAATGGATGATACCAAATTTAAAATAATATTAAAAGGATTTATTTTGTACTTTACTATTCAGTCCAAGAAATACATTTCTCACCCATTTAAGATAACAATGATGTCATGCGCATCTTATCTATCATTTTCCACATTTAAGATGAAAGCCCCATCCAATTAATTTATCTCCTAATCCCCATCCAATTAATTTATCTCCTGCTCATCAATATCTCCTGCTCATCTTTATCTCTCAGAGATTTTGAAAGCCCCGGGCCCGTGGCGGCCCGTGGCGAGCCAGCACACCCAGTTTTCTATCTACTTCTCTGAGTGTGATGTAAAGTTTATAGGTGCAAACCACAAAGTTAATGCATTAAACTAGTCAATGTTTGATATGACCCCCTTTTCTTAAATATACACTTGTCAATTTCGCAGCTACTTTTTCAAGTATTCTTTATTTCAAAGCTTTAATGAACATGTTGATTGGAAAGAAAGGACATAACATGTCAGAGGTGAGTGATTGCATAAAGTAGCGGTCACACTAGCCGTGTAGGCTCACCGTTCGCCACCGTTTGGCTAATTATGGCCAGACGGCGACGGCCGCATTGTTTTTATACATTTTTGACCGGGACTATACCGTTCTATTCCGGGTCTGTACCGGCTTCTCATCGGCCTTGTACCGAAATTACCGTGTTTCAGAATTCTTGCTAACCGTTCTCGCCGTGTTCTCAACTGGCGCATACCATCCCCTCACCAGATTTTCACCGGCCGGAACGCCTGGATATCGGCCGAACCGCCTTGATGGCGTCATGCAAACGCTCACAATATTTAATATGTTCAATATAAAGTAGCGGTCACACTAGCCGTGTAGGCTCACCGTTCGCCACCGTTTGGCTAATTATGGCCAGACGGCGACGGCCGCATTGTTTTTATACATTTTTGACCGGGACTATACCGTTCTATTCCGGGTCTGTACCGGCTTCTCATCGGCCTTGTACCGGACTTACCGTGTTTCAGAATTCTTGCTTACCGTTCTCGCCGTGTTCTCAACTGGCGCATACCATCCCCTCACCAGGTTTTCAC